CATTTTTGGTTGTATGGAAAGATTCTTCTCTCTCTCTCTCTCTCTCTCTTCTCTCTCTCTCTCTGTGTATATATAGTATGTATATATACATACTATATATATATATATATATATATATATATATACACACATACATATATGTATATATACATACTATATATATACACATACTATATATATATACACATATATATGTATATATATACATATATATACACATATATATGTATATATATACATACATATATATATATATATATATATATATATATATATGTATATATATATATATAGTTTTCCCAATTCAGGAGTACACATTGTCTCCAAGGGTTTTTGTTTGTTTTTTCTACAAAGATGTGGATATGAATATTTTGAAATTTTAGGATATGTTGGACCTTTGTTTTTGTCTTTGGGAATATATGTCCATGTGGGATAGCTGAGTCTAAGGTTATTGGCAAGTTAGTTACTTTTTTGCATGATTACAAATTGAAATGAGAAAGATTGGATTACGTTATAGTTTTTTCCAACAATGAGGAGGGGACCTTTTCCTACCAGTAAGAATATGCAAACAAACAAATGTAACAAGGAATGCCCCCCTTAGCTGTTATTATAATAACAGGGATGCTCAAGAAAACCCAGAAAAAGAATTCATTTACAAAACAACTATAGGAAAAATCTCAAAGAGAAACATAACTTGCATACAAATTTAACTGTAATTCCTTGGAGGGATGAAGGAAGAGCAAACAACACAAAACAAAAGAACAATTTTCATTGTTTATGTACTTTGGCCACTTATCTATTGAGGAATACTTCCTGGTCTTATTTATCAGTATCAGTTTCCTATATATTTTGGATATAAAATCTTTGCTGTCAATATGTGATGCTGATATTTTTCCCACTCTAGATTTTCCTTTCTAATTCTGTCAATTGACTTTTTTTGTACTAAAATTTTTCATTTTGTGCAGTCAGAATTACCTATTTTATATTGCATGATCTCTCTCTCTATTTCTAGAATCCTTCCCTCTGGCCATAGTTGTTAAAGCTATCTTATCATGTTCTTTTCCATTAAAAAAAATGATATGACTTTTAATGTTCAGGCGACCTATTCATTTTAAGCTCAAGATTTTCTGTTTTTTCTTAGTACAGAGTGCTAGTGATTTGGGAAGATCTGTGTCAACTGCTGTCTTAATGAAGCTCTTAACCATCATAACTATTAACTTTGTAACTGACTTTCTGAGGTATTCTAAATATACCATCATGTCATCTGCAAATAGGAATAGATTTTTCCCCTCCTTCTTGCTGATGCATATACCTTTCATATTATTATTTTGTCTTATTACTAAGAGTCAACACTGTATACTGATAGAGAGTTGGCCTTGAAACCAGCAAACAGGTAGTTTTTTTTTCCTTTATGCTGACGTATATATATATATATATATATCTTAATACTGTTATTTTGTTATTTTAACTAATGCCAAATACTTTTGTTGACTATTGGTTAATAATATGAGGTCTGACAGAGCTACTCCCCCTTACTTCATATATGTTCTCATTATTTTCCTTACTATTTTAAGTATTTTGTTCTTCCAAATAAATTGAGATTTATATTGTCTAGTTCTAAAAAGGATCACCTCAGTGATTTGATTGTTCTCACACTAAATCTGAGTTAATTTAGGTAGTATTGTCATTTTTATTGTCATGGCCAAATACAAGCAGGGAATATCTTTCCAATTATTTGTCTCTCTACTTCTGTATACAGAGTTTTTTTTTCTTTGTTTTGTCTTACTGCTGAGAGACAACATTGTACAGTGGATAGAGAGTTGGCCTTGAAATCAGCATGACTAAATTTCAACTCCTACCTATAACATATAACATCTTTGTGATGTCAGGCAAGCCCCTTAACCTCTTAGTGGTCTACACAGCTATCTGAGACTGTCAGGTGCAGAGAAAATACCATCCTATTTGGTAGAGGGAATTTCTTTCTTCACCTGGGAGGTCCAATACCAATCAAATCACAGGTTCATTCTCTATTTCTTATTTCAATAATTAGCATTTCTATAATTAAGTCATATAATAGAGAAGGGTCAACGAAGAAGTATAGTTGATCAAAGCAAGCCAATTCATTAAGCACCTCTGAAAACATATACTTCATTTTTCACCAATAGTCTATCACTTCTCTCTTGGGAAGTGAGAGAGATGTTTCACAATCAGCCCCTTAAAGTCAGAAGTGGCCACTGCATTGAACAGAGTTCTGATGTTTTACAGTGCGCCTTTCCTTTACATTGTTGAGGCATTTTTGGTGTGTTTTGTTTTATGGGGTGGGTGGGAAGAGGGAATCTGTTTACTTCACTTTTCGTCAACAATCAGTTCCCATAGGTTCAGTTATCATCTCTGTGTAAATGATTCCTATTTAGATGATTATTCAACTCTAATCTCTCTCTCTCTCTTGAGCTCTTATCCAACATTTTTTTTTAACTTGTATTGTTATAGCATGAGTGTCTCATATAGGTCTTTCCAAGTTTTCCTGCATTTTTAATATTTGTCATTACTAAAAGAACAATAATATTAGATTACATTCATATATCATAACTTGTTAATGGTCACCAATTGTTTCTTATTTTTCTATGAAAATCTTGGTATACGTGTTTTAGTATACATGAACTCTTTTCCCCTCTGTTTGACTTCCTAGTTGGGAGAGACTTGAGGCAGGAAGACCAGAAAGGGAAGGATTAAAGATTAGAGAGAAAATGGGGGTGTTATTTGAGGCAACCTGCTAGAGAAAGTTGGAAAAGTTTGGAATCAAATATATATGTAATGATACTGGTTTTCACTAGGAAAAGGATACCTCTTCCTTAGAGAACAGAGTGAAGGAGAATATAGGGCAAGGTGTTAAAAAAATTATGTGAAGAATGAGAATGGAGGAAACTGATAAAGTGCCATGTTATAGATGTCTATAATCCACATTTCATGTGCTGTCCCCATAACTGCCCTGGTTGGGACATAGGGATCCTTCATAATGGAAAAAATGTGTCTTCACAGGTGAAATATCATGGTGGGGTCACACTGACCCACCAGTTCTCTGTACCATATGTGATATGGGACTCCACTTATAATGGCAGAAGAACTCTTGATGTAGCTTCATAGTTGTCAGAAAATCCTGACACAAGGGGCAAAAAATAATAAAGAGAAGGACCAAATAGAATAGCACTTAGGCAGTATTTTTTCCTTTTTTGAAAATACTTAGGAAATTCTGAGTGAAGGCTGCTAAGGCAAGTTTTTAAGGATTATTAATGATTCTCCAGGACTGATTCCTGTTGCTGAACTTGAGTAGTGAAATATTTGAAAAGTCTTATTGACTAACTCCCTCAAGCAATTCACTTTAGTGCATCCTCAAGTCCAGGTTATCCTTATAACCCTACCATTTTGCTTCTTAGCAATGAAGTGTAATTATGACAGCTTAGATTTTAATTTCTTAAACTCACCTAAAGTAAATACAGGCCCGTTAACAGAAATAATCATGCCTAGCAATCCATGTGATGCAAAGAAGTATCACAGAGCTGTGATCATTTTATAGAGCCATTAGCCAATATTTTCCTATGACTAGCTCCCAGATGTATGATATGGCAAAAATAATGTGATAACTATCTCTTAGAAATAAAAAAAAATATTCTTTTTCCTTAAATTATATCCTTTATGGACATGTCAACTCACATTGATTGTTTTTAATGGAGTAATTCCCAAAGGCATTTTCTACTGGATACTAGGTCACCAACCAGTTTAAGGCATGGGGCGATGAGTAATCATATACAATTCATTTGAATGAGATAGGGGGAGCTTTCTAAAATCAAAATTTCCAGCGTAAGAGACATGACAAAGTTTTAAGTATACAGTGACCAGATCAGAGAATGACCATTCAGTGCTTCTCTTCCATTTCTGTTAACAAGCATAGTTCTAAGGACTGAACAAAAGACTGTAGAAGGTCTAAATGATATCACAATTAAGGGAATAATATTATACTTAGAAAAGTGACTCACAAGAGTCCTGCAGTCAATATACATTGAAAAAAGTGTGGTTATAGAGACATCTATATGACTTTTGACTTTCAGAACTATAACAAGGGCTTCTTTGTCAATATGTTATAGTTTTGTTCAAAATTACAGTAAAGGAAGGAAAACCCAACATTCTTTCTTATCACTGACAGTAAGGAACCTTATGATATTGTAATGTGTTAATAGGGAATCAGAAACAAGTAACAGAATGATATTCCAGAAACTGACTTTATCCTTAAGTACTCAAGTACATAGGATGCTTTTATTTTATTTTATCTTCTTTTTTGAGGTTATAAAGTCTTTTAGCAATGATTGCCTTCTCTGATTAGAAGATGGTCCATTGATCTGACTGGCAGCCATTTTTTCTAAACTTTCTCTTGAGTAATAGAGAAAGTTACTCTGAGACTATGTCTGGTGCATCTTGGCACTTTTACACGAGGAATTTTAGGGCAGCCTCATGTTGGCTCTGCTTAGCCACAAACCAGGTTGAGTTTATAGTTTTTGGATAAACAAAACTCATGCATTGCTTGAAACATTGTTTTCATTAATATAAGAACAATGTAATGTTTGACTAAAGAGATTCCACTGAAGGGACCAAGTTCAAAAGATTTGTTCTATTTTATCCCCAGAGCTCTGTTATTGCCACAGAACTTATGAACTCAAATCTCTTTGATTTCAGATGTTATGATCTTGTATTTTTTTGTGTGATTTCTTTACTTATGAAATAAAAGAAATAAAAATAAACATGCAAAAGTAGGTGATAAGTAGAGAAATCCAACAGCAATACCCAGTTAGTAGCAGCACATTCATGGAGTTGTTGTTGCCATTGTTTATGTAATTTCTGCATTCAGTTTAAAAATTTTTTAATGTCTTTGTTCATTTATTTGATCTGAATTTCATTTATTTAAATAAATCTTTCTACATCATTATAAATTCATAATTTAATTCCAGGTACCTGTTCTGGACTGAATGGGGACAGAATCCTTGCATTGGCAAAGCAAGATTAGATGGTTCTGAGAAGGTCATCCTTGTGAGCATGGGGATAGCATGGCCAAATGGTGTCTCCATTGATTATGAGGTCTGTTGTTTCTTTTTCCTCCTTTCAATATTCCAAGTATGTTGTCTTCTGGATTGTTTTGTATTAGCATGCCCGTCCCTATTTGGTTTTCCAGTTTTAAAAAAAATAAAACATTTGGATAAAAATAGCTTGGTAAACTTCACTTTGTAATTGATCTTTAGGAAAATAAATTGTACTGGTGTGATGCTCGCATAGACAAGATAGAAAGAATCGACCTTGAGAGTGGAGGGAATCGGGAGATTGTGCTGTCAGGGAGCAATGTGGATATGTTTTCAGTCGCAGTCTTTGGGGCTTACATCTACTGGTCTGACAGGTAATTTATTTTTCCATAAGTATTTGAGTCTCAAAATGTTATTTCAGTGCCAGCTGCTTCACCCTTGTAGGATTAGCCATTCCTTAGCAAGGTCACAAAAAGGATCTCACAAAGCCATATAATTTCCACAGAAAAGGTACTTTTGATATTCAAAGCTAAAGCATATCAATGTCATACACTAGAGTTGCTTTCTTTGCCTTCTGTTTGGCCATCTGTTGGCATCAGTTTAATGACTGGACTGATTTTAATTAGTTGAAGATTGTTGATCAGGCGTCTTGAACTTTCTTACAGAGCACATGCAAATGGTTCTATTCGAAGAGGTCACAAAAATGATGCCACAGATGCAGTGACCATGAGAACAGGCCTTGGAGTCAACCTAAAGGAAGTCACAGTCTTTAATCGAGTAAGGGAGAAGGGTGAGTAATTTTCGATAATCGTGTGAATTATTTTATATTGTCTTATGTTCATACTTACGTATATATATATATATATATTATATATATATACATATACATACAAACAGACATACATGTACATATATATAGACAATTATTACATTTTATTAAAAATTACCTTATTCTTATGTATCTAAAACTTTTAAGTAATAATCTTCCCAGGTAATGATTATTTAAAAAAATAATGTATATGAGAATATGAATATATATATGTATATATACATGTATGAGAATATACATGTAAGAGAATATATGTAAGTGTATATATGTGGGTATGTATATTCATGTACTTCTAAATCCATGTACATGTTAATATATGTTTAATAATGCTATATTCACATTTTTCTTATAGAATACATATGTAAGATTTGTATACACGAATACGTGAAATAAGTAAATGGGATCTAAATATAAAAAATGGAGGCAAACTATAAGAAATTCATGGGATATGAGAAAAGTAGGAAGTAGCTAACTTATTAAGTATGTTATGCTACAAGATATATTGAATGCCTAGAATGCATTATTCTAAACATGAATAATAATGATAGCAGGAGCCTATATAATGTTTTAAGGGGTTTTCAAAGCACTTTACAATAACTCTGGGAAGTAAGTGTTATCAGTTGCCCCATTTTACAGATAAGGAAATTGAAGCAGACTGAGGTTAAGGACTTACCGAGAGTCATACAGATAGTTCATTATTTGAGGCTAGATATGAACTCAGGTCTTCTTGACTCCAAATCCAGTATTCTTTCCACTGAATCACCTCACTGAATATCAAGCACATTCTAAACCATTTCATCTTTAAAATGTATTTTTCATAACTGCCAAAGCAGTTTAATGAAAAGAAAAACAAGTTCCATTTTACTTAAAGAAAAATTGCAAAACCAATCACACAAGAAAATATATAGGGCTCTCTTTATAAAGATAGTTACATCATTTGAAAAAAAATTATGATGGTTTAACAGAAGATTTATGCTTATTCATTTCAATGTAGCAAGTTCTTTTTAAATACCTACTCTGTACAGAATGCTAACTATGATAGATGCTGTAGAGATAGATACAGAATTTAGATGGAAAACTTTTAAGGAAAAGTAATTATTTTCTGAGTTGAAGGTCCTGAAATATAATTTTTGCTAACTTCATTTTGTTGGCATATGATTTTAATATTAGAAAGCTATATACACTATTGAGATAAGGATAGGGACTGTGGAACTGTAATTTCATTGGAATAGCAACTCTTTAATGATTAAATTGCCTCTACTACTGCCATTTACAACGTAAAGTCTTAGAGAGCTGGCTAATTCAAAAGCAATAAAAATTAATCTTGTTTGAATGTCATAGCAAGCAGATGAAGACGGTCACTGACATACAGTGCAGGCTTTCATGTTGGTAATAAGTCTGATCAAAGGGAAATTCTGTTCATTGTAAGAAACAGAGTGACCCAGTGCTATTTGAATCTCTAACTTTCAAATTTGCTCTAAGAAAAAAAATTCTTTTCTTTCCATACCTCCCAATAGGTACCAATGTATGTGCAAAGGACAATGGTGGCTGTCAGCAGCTTTGTTTATATCGAGGAAATTCTCAAAGAACATGCGCTTGTGCACATGGATATCTTGCAGAAGATGGAGTTACCTGCCTAAGACATGAAGGTTATTTACTGTATTCAGGGAGAACAATACTAAAAAGTATACATCTTTCAGATGAGACCAATTTAAACTCACCAGTTAGACCATATGAAAATCCTAATTATTTCAAGAATGTGATAGCTTTGGCTTTTGACTACAGCTTGAGAAGAAAGGGTACCAACCGAATCTTCTACAGTGATGCACATTTTGGAAACATACAGCTGATTAAGGACAACTGGGAAGGCAGACAAGTAGTTGTTGAAAGTAAGTAACATTATGTTTAAATATTAGAAATATTTCCTTGGATGATATATGTTATCATTATTATTAAAAATTGCATAATAATCTGTGATTACAGCATTCAATGGAGGAATAATTGCATACAACCATACCATTTTTCTACATCCCATGTTCCTAAAATGAATGAGACTTATATACAAACTGTATATATGGGAAACAAACTCTCTAATACTCACAAAGGTATTTGATCTCCTAGATTTAGGAATTCCCTCCAGTGATTCAGATCATGACCCATCCTTGCCTGCAATCCTCTGTAGTTCTTCTCCATGTCCATGCATAATTTCATCACAAAGATTATATCCAATGTGCTAGATGCATTTTTCATCTTTTCCTGACATCCCAAAGGTACCAGTGAAATACCCTGGCTGTCTACCTGCTATCCCTCACCCTCACCATGTCACCAGCTTATCCTCTCAGATAATATCCTTTACTCTGATCCTTCTTCAAATTTCTTCCTTGGTTATATGTTATAGCCTGCTTAAACCCATCATGAGCCACTGCATTGCCATCTGTTCGATAATTGTTTTCTATTCCTTGGAGACTATTGGATAACATGCCTCCCTGAAATATGTTAACACCAACAGGATATTGGTATTAAAAACACAGGTCGAGAAGTTTAGTGTCATTAAAGAAGCTTTGCAGTTTTTCAAAGACAATTTAGCCTATTTTCCTCCTCATATTCAACCCTGGACCAAATGCATTGCCCAGCTACACTATACGTCCCAGATATACACACTGATGGAATGCTCTAAAGGTCATAGATGTCATAGTTCGGGCAATAACAATCTCCATCCACTTGGTTTTTCCTGTGGGGGTGGTCAGGTTAGACTCTTTTGATTGGTTACATTGCACTTTCTGGAAATCCTACAAGGTCCTGGGCTTCATGTAGCTAGAGACATGTTAGCTGCAAACAGGAATGATTGGAGGACCTTACCATCCACAGAGGATTACTTTTACCTTGAAACTATTGGTTCTTCTCCAGCATAGTGGTAAATACTTTTTGCATGCATGTCTACATCTCTCTGTTTTATTCAAGATCCTAATGTTTACTATATGGGAGTACTTTGACAGTATTATTTCTATCATATCTATTAAGAAATCTTGAATAATTTTGATGTATAGATGGAGAAGACTTTGTTGGAAAGGCAACATTTTATTCTACTATGTCAAATGCTTTTTGATAATCAACAAGAAATAAGCATAATGGAATCTTATATTTACTATGTCATTCGGATATCTATGAAATGGTAAACATGTAGTTTGTTGTTAAATATTGCTTGTGAATACTCCCATGTTCTCTATTAACTTATTCAGGAACAAGGACCTTTATAGATGACTTATTTACATACATCCTATAAATAGCAGAGGAGGCATATCAAGTATTAGTTGATGTTTTCTTAAGATCTAAGATGCTTTCCATATCATTAGCGACTTCCTCTCTTTAGATGTTGATATATAAAATGCAGTGTTTTTCATGGTGATCTAAACAGGCAAAACCTAGAAGACAATGCAACATGTGTTGCATTGTATTAGTTTTCTAACATGGAGATCTTAAGCTGTTTCATTAAAATAATAGTTTCAAAATATATAATCTGCTACAGTAAGGTGATTTTTTTAAACTCAAAACGACCTAATGTTATATTTGACATTGTATTTCAGAGTATTAGATAACAATATGAAAAAAAATCAGGAATTAATTTGGTACAAATTTTTGGTATAAAACTTTACATACCATATGAGTCCCAGTTTCCTTACCTATAAATGAGGGAGTGAATTAGAAGGTCTCTGAAGTTCTTTCTGGTTCCAAAGTTCTATGATTCCATGATTTATTTATACTTCATAATTTTCACACCATTTTCTTGTTTATTATATTGTTGAATGCTCAGTACAGTGCTAAGCTGAAGCATTGTCCTTAATATCTCAAAGTGTGTTTTTACAAAATCCTTAAAAGCAACCCAGAGTCTTTCCCGCACAAACAAGCAAACAAAAACCTTTAGGATCCTCATTAAATATATATATATATGAATTAACTTTTAAGAAGCATTCAACAAACTACCACAAAATGCCTAATTGAGTTTTAGCTTTTTGTACTTGGCCACAGTAGAACTCAGACAATTGATACATTTTCGTAACATATCAGGATTTTCATTTTCATTTTAGTACTGGTTTGTAAAAAGATGGCCCTATCAAATGTACTTCCTTTCAGATTTAAAAGAATTATCTAGACTTAATTTTTTCTAGACAGTTTAAAGCTTTAAATTGCCGTATATGTGTGACTTGTATGTGCTAATTAGGTTAATTGACTTTGTGGCATACTATTATTTTGGCATGTATATCAAAGTAGTGTACAATAAGTAACAATTATGATAATTATTATGTGATGTATGAAGGCTGAATTTAGACGTAAATACTTAAAATGAGTCCACAATCCTAATTTAATATGAATTATTGAAGTTTTATGTCAGTGTTTTGTTTGACTTACCCTTTTTGATTCACTTCTTGAGATCACATAATTATAGATTTAGAGCCTAAATGAATCTTTTGTGTATTGTTCCTACTTTTGCATTTCGTTAGTTTCATTTGTCTTATAAAATCCAAGCAAGAGAAGTTCCTAAAATACCTAAATTTCAAATTGGGATTTTTATTGGGAGGGTGGTGGGGGATGTCTTAATGTTTTGTAGTATCAAATAATATGAGAATATCTTCAGTATTAAATACTGGTCACTTAAAAAACACCACCACCACAGATTTCAGTTGAGACTCATTGAGCTGTTTTTATGCTATGTAAGCCCTCAGATTCTATTGATTAATTGACTGGTTAAATTCTTCTTGAGAGATATGATTATTAATACCCAATGATTTGGGGAGATCCAGAATTGCCCTCTTTTTCTAAAGTCCTGATTTTAAAAGTTCAAGCTCTTGAAGAATATTGCTGATAATGAGATTAAGCTGACTTTCTTGTTCAGATCCCACCCAGATGGGTAAACAGTTGTGCTCTACACAGGTTTCAATGGGGATAAATCTGTGAATAGATTGCCCAAAGATGGGAGTAAGTTAGAAGTAAATGACATAATCAGAGTTCATTTGAATAGGTTTAACCCCTCATTGTAATATTCATTATCTCATTAATTGTTAACCAATCAGAGTTGATTACCATCTTCTTCCAATGGGCATATAAGCCATAAGCCTGCACCATAATTGTCTTTGATCTAAGAGAGAGACAGCCAAATGACCATCCTTTTATTAATAAACATGCTGGCATCATTAATAAAATTATTAAATTAACCAGAAATTATGTATCTCAAATCTTTTTAAATGTCACACACCTTTGATTAAATCTGAAGTTCGATAGAAAAGGATAAATCCAACTTAGATCAGTTTGACAATTAAAGGCCTGACACCCAAGATAAGAAGAGAATGCGTTAACAAAAAGTAACACCATAATCTTATGGCAAAGGACCTTGCTTTTAAAATTGATTAGAAACACAAATTGGATAAACTGAATATCTCCGTTATACAAGTAAAACAGTAGCATAGTGAATATTTCAAAGGTGGTGTTTGAATTCTTCCACTGTTTTGGAATGATGCTATTTTGCATAATGTTTGAAGGAAGGAGGCTAGGAGTTGAGGCTGGGAATTCTTACCCTCTATTAGGAAGGTCCTACTATAAGAAAGCTAATATACTAAAATCTCAGTTTATAGAAGAAATAATTTTATGGCCAAGTCTTTGTTTTATTAAAGGATTTTCTTTTGTACATAGTGGTGTACTACAGTTTTCTTAATATTAGAGGTAGAATTCTATAATAGAATGGATTTGGATACATAGAGACCTTAGCCTGAATCTCTTCTCTCATGTGTATTCATTCTATGATTGTGGGCAAGTCACTTCATATTTCTGAGTCTTAGTCTGTTATCTATAAAATGGAGAGAATGGTATCTATATTAACAGGGTTGTTTGTAAGACTCAAATGAGGTAATGTAAGCAAAGCAGTATGCCAACATTAAAATATTTGATAAATATAAGGAGAGAAAGAGTCAGGCAGTGCCTAGAGAGCTGGCTTTGGGCTTTGATGCCACAAAGTCCCAAATTTCTGACCCACCTCTGACATTTACTGGCTATGTGACTATGGTCCTTACAATCAAGGACTTTTAGATCCTCCATTTGTTCCCTCCATTTATTGATACTCTGATTCTGACTGGAATTGATCAGCTTGTGAAATAGCTGCCTAACTCTCTGTTGTATCATCACTCTCCTAGTAGTTTCCTTAATTCATCAGTGCAAGCAAGTTTCTTAATCTTTTAGTATGACGAGCATCATCTATAAATCTATAAGATTATAAGTCTCAAAGATGATACCAACATGAACTAGTAAAGGGGGTATACTCATTTGGGTGTTTCCTATAAAAATGAAATTATAGGTCCAATTCCTATTTCTATAAATGTCAGGAATTGTTATTAATATGATATATATATTATTTGAATATATTATTTGAATCATAGGTAGATTTTTAAGAATATATTCAATAACAATTAAAATATCATGCCTTTTTCAATATGCCAAGACTAAAATTAATTTTTGTGATGTTTACTCTTACATTTCTCTAAAATGATTTGACTTATATAATCCAAACAAGAAAATTCCTGAGACACTCATATTTCAAATTTGTTTTTTTCTAAGTTTACTGTTTTCAATGGTTAAAAAAAAATATTTAGAGAATCAAATGTTAAAATACAGCTATCCTTCATTCCATGTAAATTGGTATGTAAGAGTCCAGACTGAGAGAACTGATATGTAAAAAACTATATCCGATATGAATAATCTGTCAAATTTTAATTTGGGAAATTCCCAGGTTGCAGTAAACCAATATAGTATACTGGTACCTATTAGAAGGTATGATATTATAGTCTAATTATATTAAGTACGACAAAAGTTCAAGCCAGAAGAAGTGGAATGACATTATGGA